TTGATTCGCGGTTTCAATCAGCTCAGAAGCGGGGTCGTTAATCACCCGAGCATTAGTACGGTTTTCAGTCTCGGCATGAAATCCATGACTTTTCTGGTTCTCGTAATGTCGTGTGCGCACTTATGTCACGCCCGTTTCATTTTGCCAACGCGAGGTAACCCGTTCGAAGCCTATTTCGAACGACCGATTCCGGCAACCAGGCATACACGAGCGACCGATTGCTTCGTCGCCGTCGACCGACATCTCTGTCCGGCGTTTAATTTCCGATCCAGGACCGTAACGCCCAGATTCGTGTTATCGACGACGGCCGGCGCCTTCGACGCCAAACCGAGCGACGTTTATTTAATTTTGGGTGATTCCGGGCGTCTAAATGAATCCCTCGGAAACATGCTGAAAAACGGCATGGGCGTGCGTTGTAGGCTACACGTAATACTCTGCGGTCGGACGCGTAGAATCAGAGAAATCGCGGAAACCGTTTGGAGGTTTCAGATACTAAGCTTCGCGATAGTTTACGCGAAAAATCGCACCGTCGTCGTAGCAACTTACAATCCGTTTTCCGGTGCCTTGTCGACGCCCGGAAACCAATCGGAGGAAAGCATTTTCCCTGATAAATTAAAAAATTTGCACCAATACCAGCTCACTGTAGGGATTTACGAGGACTACCCGCGGATAACAGAACGTAACGGGGAATACGAAGGCGACGACATGTTCATCTTGCGTTCAGTATGCCGCCACCTCAACGCCACTTGTCGCATAGTGAAGAAACCTTTCGAGGACGTCATCCGACTGACAGTTAACCACGACGTGGACTTCTTCGCGGTCAAGAAAACCTACGACCATAACTTCCACGAGCACCTCGACTTTACGGTCCCTTTCGGCATGGACAACGTGGTGGTTCTGCTGCCGGTACCGGAGCCGGAACCCCTGTACAGCCTTTTACGCGTTTTCGATGCCGGCGACGTCGTGGTCATGACCGCGATCCTCGTGGCCGTCGCCCTGCTGAAGTACCTCGGCAGCGGCATCTCCGGAACCCGCGACTTCGGCCACAGCTTCCTGCAGGCCCTGCAGGTACTCACGCAACAATCCGTGAAAAACCTAGGCCGATCGAAGACCACGAAAATCGTCTTCGTCTTTTGGCTGGCATTCTGTGGTCTGTGGACCGCCTATTTCGCGTCGTTTTTCACCGCCAGGGTGGTCCAGCAACCGCCTCCGAAGAAGGTATCGAGACTATCGCAAATCGATCCCGGAGCGAGAATGTATTCGATAAACAGGTCGTTTCCGGAGGGGGACAGGAAGTTTTTGAGGAATTTGGTTATCGTGCAGCGTCACGAAATCATCGCGATGTTGCAAAACAACTCGAGGAGCGCTTTCTTGGTGCCGTGGAGCCAAGGGGAAGCTTTCCTGAGAATCGGGAACTCGCCCCGGTACTACCCGGTCGAGGAGTACATCATTCCCGGCATGGCAGGGTGGATTTTCCCTCGGGATTCGCCGTACATCGGTCGGATAAACGTCGCGTACAGGCACTTCGCGTCGCTGGTTTTGGCGCGAAAATCGAAACTCAACCGCGGACCGCGGAACCGCGTCGGCAATCTGACGTTTCGCCATTTCCGGTTTATATTCTTGCTGTACCTCTTCGGCAACGGTGTCGCGACGACGGCGTTCCTGCTCGAACGCTCCGTCGGAGTTTTTAAAACACATTTCGGTTAGTTTTGTCAGCCGGAAGTATATTATGCAACAAGTGTTACAAGAGTTTACCAAACGTGTTGCATACTATACTTTTTCTACGACCGTCAAGCAAAAATCACAATTTAACATATTAAAAATAATAACAGATTATCGCATTGCTGAATTTTGGGGCATTCAAACGAAATATTTACTAGTTGCCATTAAACCTATTCGTTTATCGTTCCGATCGGTTCTGCTATTGTTGTCTCTTTTTATCTGTGTACGTTAGACAGAGAGAGATATATCATTGGATATGTCATAAAAACAACAGAATAAACATAATTTTAAAATGTTATGCTGTTTATTTGGCTTTTACAATTGATCATTAAGTGGTTTATTTAAATAAAAAGACTGTAATTGGAAGAAAAACCATCCAAGGATAGAGCTTTTAAGAGGATTAAACTTTTAAGATCGTACAAGCAAGAAAAAGCATTTTTTTTTTGTTTGTACTGATATTTGAAAATGGTATAATTGATCTTAGCAGGATATTAATATAAAAACTCTAAAAACCACCAAACTTCATGCGAACCGTATATGTAAAATACGCGAAGCGTTAAAAATGTACAAACAACCAGAATTTATAATTATAACAACGAAAAAAAGAATTGGTTAATTTTTGAGCTGGGCCTGTTTGCCATGCCAAATATTCGAATTTCGAGAAACATATTAGATGATTAAATGAATACTTAAAAAATGTGATCAGTGAAAGTAGGAGGAAATATAGGGCATTTTTTGTTTATGTATTAGTAGGCCGTGCATAAAATGTTCAAACAGACGTCACACAGAAACCTCTAAACTTAATTTAATAATCAGTAGAACTTTAAAACATAAAAAAATAACCTAAGTGAAAGATACGAAACCAAAGAACCATTTAATACTTTAAATTTAATTTTAGGTATAATTTTTAATATGTATTTAATTTTTGATTGTAGTTATTTTAACCTAATACGAGGTCTGCCTTTTATGTTTCGGGATTTTCTTATACTGGTCCTGCCATCTGGCGACTAACGTTTTTGTAGGGAAGTTTGACATTTTGAGGTTAGGTTTACTCAGTTAGGTTTTAGTTTTGTGTTTTTTGTCATAAATTAAAAAACATGTGACGATTAAAAATGGAACTTAATTGGGAACATTTTCGTGGAATATTTTTTTACAGCGTTAGACGTGGACTAACTCAACAACAACGCATGGATGAACTTAATTTGACTTTTGGAGTTAAAGCACCATCCAGGACTACTGTTTATCGCTGTTTCTTGGACTTCAGTCGTGGTCGTAATTTTCATAAGAATGACAGAAGAAAACATTGATCCAGTTCGGAAACTGATTTTGCAGGATCGTCATGTGACTTACCATGAGATTGAAGTATTTTTTGGCAATAGTGGGACCAGCCTACATACCAGTTTGCATGCAAAAAAATTGTTCGCGTTGGATTCCACACCAAAAAAAGGCTCGTGTTGAAGGAAATGCTAAAAAAACATCATATTTGTTACAAATCCCACCTAGGAAAATTCCTACCCACATATTGAATTTATAGCGGCCTTGCCAATTTTGTAGTGTATCAGCATGATTATTTTCTGTGCGGTCAATTCTCGCTTCATCACCCCAAACAATAGACAAAGGAAAATTAATGCTCTCATCGCATTTTCCGATAAAAAAGTGGAAAAATGATATTGTTCTCCCGGCACCGACTTCATGTAATTGGTGGACTTTTCTGGTACGATATGGTTTGAATTTTAAGTAGTCAAAACTGGAGTTTGATACATTATTGGTTAAACTATTTTTTAACGTCCGAAATATTCCCTTGTCTGGTTGGTGCTGCTTTGGCTTTGGTATTGAAAGCTCAAACACTTTATCATATCAAACTAAAAGCTAAGTGCGATCTCTAAAATTATGTGTGACCGAACACAGGATTCAATATTGAATAAAAAATAAACATAAACAAAAAATGCCGTATATTTCGGTCTTTTTCTAACCGCAGATGCCAACAAATATATATGGCTAAAAAGGGCAAGACACGGTCATTTTTTAAGACCATAGCCAAATGTGATTGCCACATAAAATAATAAAGTTGTATTCACTTATGAGAAAACTGAGAACTGTAGAAAAAATTGTTATGTTATATTACAAAATTTTCATAGATTAAAAAGCAGCAATTTTGCTCCACTTAGTTCAGAAATAGGTTATTCCTGTTAAAACAGTTGCTATTTAAAAACATATCTTTATTTAATTGGAAAGAAACTAGTCATTGAAATTAAGTTAATAAAGATTCTTTACAAAAATTATTAATTATTTTTAATATTAAATATGCCTTGATTAGTTAAAAATACATAATTAATTAAATTGTATCGATTATTAACGCCAAAACAACAACATATATAATTATATTTTTTTTTCCAAAGAAACCTCCACAAGCTACAGTAATTGCATAAAATTTATTACTAATTAATAATTAATAAAACGAATCCTTCCCACAAAATTTAACTTTTTATTTAAATTTCCCGATTAGATACTGGTGGCGACATCTGTTGACGACAGTCGTAGCCACAATGTTAAGTTCCTATAATTATAGGTATGTGTCTCGACTAGCATCTCCGGCGTTGCCACAATGTGCAATTTCTTCTTGAGGGTCAACAAATTTCAAAATTCGTCCTTAAAAACTTTGCTTGAGGCCAAAACCTTCTCACGAATGCTAGCAAGTCAGTCAGAAAATCCTTGTAATGAGAGAATGGATTTTAGATAATTTGGTTCTAACCGAGAGCTTCGATCTGCGATCTTGGCCAGTCAATTTACGTATCTGGGTGCAGATTTAACGAGCCATGGAAATTTGAAAAGGAAAGGATGGATTCTTAAAAAATGTTATATGGTGAAAAGTGAGAAATTTGTTAGAATTAGAAGAAATTTCTGGAATAAATGCGTAAATAGAACGAATAAGGTGTAAATTGTTTATGGCCAAAAATGAAGATGGCCTACCAAATGGGAAACCGATTAAAAGAAGAAGAACAAGAAGAAACTTCTAATCAATCATCTTATTGACAGTTGTCGATTTAATAATTTATGAACAAATTACTTCGCAAAAACCGCAAAATCGTCAACTATTGAACTGCAAAATGCGGCTTTCATTTACCAACGATCTGAACGCTTCATCTTCCCATATAATGCAGATGATAAGAGGCGATTTCGATTTGAGTAAAATTCGCCAATTAGAATTATACAAGGAAAAAATGTTGGCAACAGCGCGCCGCGACTGAGACGAAATATTCGTCGCGCTGCGGAATGACAGCATCTTGTTCACGTGACGTTGACGGTAACAGGAATTTTCATGACAGGTTGATTTGTTTGGTTAAAGCGTAGTGTAGTTAAGTTTTTTTCCGCAAAACCATTCGGGCGATTATTTTCAATGCGCGCCTCGAAGTGTGGTTAACTTAGGACACGAAAATGGTGAATAAGTTTTTTCTTCAATATTTCCCTCGCCAGTTCAATAATTTTCGAGAAACGTTCGTACTTTCACCGCTGGTGACTTTGCTAGATGGTCGTTCTAATTATAACAACGCGATTAAAAATGAATGGCATTATTTGTTTTAGGTCCGACCTTAAGGCGGACAAAGATTACTGTTAAAAGTTAGCCAAATAATGAAAATACGAAAATAAAGGCGCAACTTTCAACACGCACATAAATCGTACGCTCGATTTGAGAGGTGTAGCAGCTTAGGCTTTTGGTTTACGTCACGGTGTTGCCGAATGTTACGAAAAAAATTTAAATAAACGATTCTTAATGTAGCAATTTTTGTGCAATTTATGATACGCCTAATCGTAAGCGGATACTTTTGCAGTTGAAGTGGATATTATGGAAAAATTTCCGCTGAATAGGAGAACATCAGGACCGTCTACGCCCGATACTCCCAAATCGTATCAAGCTGTTAACAAAAAGGTTAGTCAATGTTAGACGTTGTTTTTAATAATTACCTCGCTTATCTTCGAATTCAGTCAGACAAAGGCTTTTAAGCGTTACAGTATACAGTTAGAATTCGCAACATTTTTATATTGGCCAGTGTTAAGGGGTAGGTTGCCAAAGTTTAAGTTTGCTTTGGAGAAAATTATTTTTTGCACGTTTACTCTTCACACTCCAAAGTTTTGTTTTACTTTTTAGAAGAATCGATTAAAATGTATTGTTATTTTATAAGAAGCCCACATTATGCAGGTTGCTGTCCCAAATTCTAAGGAAAGGAAAGTCAAATAAGACAAAGAGAGAAATCAAATGTTTTCAATAATCCTTTCAGTAATTGACTTAAATATGATTAGAAATAGTCAAGCGCCGTTTTTACATACCTGACACGAATACCGAATGTCAAAGTGGTGGTTGAAGCAAACGAAACGCGCAAAACGAAAAGTTTACATTAAAATTACATTTATGTTTTTTTTATTTTTATATTATTTTATTAACTAACTATTGCAAGTGCAATAAATAATGGCAACGTTCCCTCCGAAACTTCGCCAATACTTGAGCAAAATACGCGGCCGGTAAAATTTACGGTTAGTTTCGTCAGTGAATCTAATTTGAAAACTGTTTGACAGTCAAACGACTTTTAAATCCCATTAGTTTCGGGTTTTTATCTCACAACGGCAACGCCGCAGTGACCTCAAAATCGATTTCTGACTAACTTGCGCGGGTTTCCATTCATTAGATTGGATATATGCCTCTATTATCTCGTACCAGTTCGCTCTACAAAAAATCGAGATGTAGCGAACTAATCGTAATTTTTACCCTACTAGTTTTGGTGTTACGAGGTTGTTTCGATTCAAAAAATCCAAGGTAACATCTAGAAGGTTTAGAAATTTTCGTTGCGCTCGTGTCGCCTTTATTTGTTATGTTTTTGGGTGCAAACTTTCGTTTTTCACTCCTTTCATGCCTCAGCAATGCTTAGAACAAGATCGCTTTCAAAAAATCATCGGCTGACGGGGCAAGTTCGTAGCGCGTAGCGCGAAGCTGCTTTTAATTTTAGAAATAAGGCGCTTCGCGGTTTCTTGTCCTAGAAGGATGCAATTGCTTTTCTATCGTGCTCCTTCAGAACACTATGAAACTTTCGTAAAATCGATGTAATTTTAGTCTGCACCCTGTATAAAGCGTCTTCTACGTTTCACCGAACTTCAAAGTCACGGCGAACTTTGATAAATGTATTAATTTGTACAAATAATAGGTACAGTTATAATTTACAATGCTGTTTAAACCAAATTATTCCTTTTTATAGCTTTTTATTAATAGCTAATAATATACCCACGAAAACGGCAATTTTCAGGGTCTTTTTGATTTTTTGTCCATAATCGACACTTCCTGTGCATAATTAAAAAAATGCAGGAAATAGAGGTTATAGCCCTGGATCTCCCTCGTTTCCTAATCCAAGAATTTTTCCAATGGAGTAAATGGTTTTCGATAAAATAATATCTTCCTGAAACTATGCAGTCCGCCGTAATAGTCATCGGGTCTAAATTGGGCGCGAGGAACAGCAATTTTCGTATTATGGATTTTTTCAAATAAGTCAAGCAGCGGGTGTGACAGACGAAAACCGTAAATACAAAAATTGTTACTCTTGATGCGAATTACGAATTTTGATTTGCGGAAAATACAATTTTCACGATCTTTTAGATTTTTGTCCATAACTGAAAAATCCTTTATATAATCGAAAAATAGCCCTAAATAAAAGTGATAGCCCTAGATCTCCCTCGTTTTTTGGCTTTAAAATTTTGCCGATGGGTTGAATAGTTTTTGAGAAAATCATGTTTTTCTGGAAGACAAAATAATTAAAGACAATTTTTCAAAAATTAAAGAAATATATTTGGTGATATTTGATTGCGCTCAATTTCTACTGTTTAGATGTGAGTACGGACTTTTACCCAGTACAAAATGTGAAAACCTTAAATACAAACATCTTAGCTGCCGCTATATTTTGGTGTAAAACAAATTAGCATCTGAATCACAGTCTTTATTTAAAGTTATTTAAAGCCCTTGCTCCCCCCAATTTCAATAGGTTCCGTAAACGCTCTATATTTGTGTCAATTTGAAATTGATAGCTGCAAATTTCGGCCACTTATCGTGTTTCATAGCGATATACGAAAAACAGACAAAACTAAAAAAAACGACATATGCCAATTGCCAATTCCAGCCATTTGCTATGGGCTTATGTGTCTCGTGGCCAGGTTAAAGGGAGCAAAAGTCCAGCTCCCCCACTCAAACCGTTCCGAAATTATTGGCGTTTTTATAGAACGACGACAGAGAACGGAGAACAGACAAATAATTAAAAAAATAATAAATTCGATTTCATCAATTTTTCGAAAGTAACAAGAAAAATATAAAAGTAGTTTATCTTATACAAAAAATAAGTAAAACGTAAACCATTCGACCCTCAGTACCTGGAGCGTGAGCAGCAACACACCAACGGCGTCGGCGGAGGCGTGGGAGCTAGAGTAACGTACGCGACCACCCCAGATGAAGATATGATCGACGTGCAAACGTCCGTGGACCATCGTCACACCCGATTGGACGAAGACGATGGATTGCCACACTGTGAGTCGATCGTTGCACTCTTTTTACCATTAAAAATCGCAAAACAGGAATAAAATTTTCAAAATTTCCAACGACGATTCCCTTACGGTCGATTCTGAAACAAGAACGTTTTGTTTTCGATAAATAAATGAGTGCCCGTTGTGAACTTTTGACTTCAATTTCTTTTTTTTTGTAAAAACTGCTGATCAGTTAAAAAAATATGCTGTTTGAAATATAATTTAATATGCTTTAATATGCTTAATATGCTTAAATTGATTAAATGTTATTTCTGCTTTTGAAGTTTTAACCAAAGAGTATAATTATTATATTATATTAATAATGTAAAGGTTAAGCCACTCTTCCGCTTCTACAACAGTAAACTCGGGTATCGAGGTTGAGGTACTAAGTCTAGCTGGAATTGTCCGTTTTAGCTCATCCCATATATGTTCGATAGGATTAAGGTCGGGACTGCGTGCTGGCCACTGCATTACTCGAAAACCGACTTCTGTAATGTAATCTTGCACGATCCTTGCGATGTGCGATGCATAAAAATGAATTCTTCTCCAATGTAGTCGACATATGGTACCAAGTGATCTGATAAAATATCCTCGATATACCTAGCACCTGTTAAACCTACTGCACCTTGACCAAGGCCGCCCCTACGGATAAAAACGGGGTCGGTTCGTGCGTCCATAGAAATTGCACCCCATATCATGCATCATAAGGACTTGCTGGTCTTCTGTGCACCTTTTTTCGTCGGTCATTACCAAAAAGCCATATTCTGGTCTCATCTGAGGTTATTTTCCTTCAGTCTTCTTACTGTCTACTGACTAACTAATGCTTAAAAACCAATAATTTGAAATTTCCAGTTGCAAAAGTGATTAATTTAAGTCTAGAAAAAGTTATCTTTATTTTAAAATTAAATTATTTTCAGATTCGATCGCCTATGGAGGTTCGCAAGGTAAGTGGATCGCGAAAAATTCATCGACAAGCCACAGAACCTCTCGTGGCCTCATGGTCCAACTAAATAATTAATTTTCTTTGCTTCTAACCTAAAAAAGACCGTTTTCCGGTAATTTTTGCTATCGCTAAGGTAGGAAAAATTTAAAAGAAGAAGACATCCAAAGTTGCGTGTCAATTTTTTTTTTTAACACAATGTTAATAAAACAAGACATTATTTTGTTGTTTTTTTTAGAATCGGGTGCCGACATACCGGGTATCGGCCAATATGACGATTTTCATACCATCGATTGGCAACGGGATATCGCCCGGGATAGGATGCGTCATAGGTAATATACCTAATATTTTACTAAGGGCGTAGTTTTCCCAAATCTCATGTTTGAGTGGTCTGTTGGAAGTATTCATTCGAAGAACTTTCAAAAACTTTGTAAAGTTTTTCCCTAAGGGCAACGCCTCAATATTTATAATCATTAAGATTTTATTGTGCTCATTCAGGTTTTTCTATATCGCTCATTAAAGAAAAAATCTTGTGATTACAGTTTAGATGAAAAATTCTCTGTGCTGATGGGGAATTGTTTAAAAGAAAAGGCTTTTGTTAGGGAGAGCCCAGAGAGAGAAAATACCATGCGCTCTCGGCTGTTCTCGACTGCTGTGGCTATTCGCCCATTTTCCAGCATCCCCCGGGGATTTTGCTTTTGGTCACAGACCAACACGTAAAAAAGAAATATAACCAATATTTATTCTCAGCTAGCAAAAAAGGGGCCCATCATGCCTCCAACCGGCGTGAACAGCGAAAACAGCGGGACCGGCACACTTAAACATTTTAAAACATTAACCAAATTCTTCCCAAACAAGAATCACACTAAAAAAAAAACGATATCAGAGATTTTGGGACGAATACAACGGATTCTTAATATCTCATTGCTTTTAGCAGTCTGTGGCGAAAGTCGTTCTCTGACTGGCGGCGCACAATAATGCCTAATTAGTAGTATAAGACGATATTTGGTGGCCGACACGACAATGGGCACTCGCCTTTACCAGGTAGCGCTAACATCCGTCCGTTTAAGTAACTACTACAGTGCTTCAAAAATAAAATTTTCTTATAGATATTTTAGAAATACGATTGATTAAGAACAAATATAAATTTTCCAATGCAAAGTATCTCTCGACATTAACAAAAAAATTAATATCAATAATCGACTATAAAAGATTTGTCAGCACTACTGAATAAGTTATGTGCCAGTTTTGTTCCAATTAATCAGATAGATTTAATTTTTGTTTCAAAACGGAAAAGAGCAGATGTGATATCTTAATTTTAATATGAATCAAATTGATTTATTTTGTTTGTGATTGTGCGTTAGTATTGTTGATATTTTGAAGCACAATTAGATCGTTTACTCTTTCATGATTTTGTATTTAAATTATTGAATAGACAGCAACAAATAAAATCATTCTTATTCATTCGCCGAGAAGTGGTTCCCATTCATTAATGTTTGATACACATTTTATGAATGACTTGGCTTGTATTGGCATCGCTCCAGACACTTTTCACAGGCCATTCTTTGGCAGTCAGCCTGTGTTTTATGGCGAGGGACGCGTATTCCAGGCACATAGTAAAAAAGAAACAAGACTCGTTCTGGAACCTGATCGAGGGCGCTCACGACGCCTGGTCCGGATGGTTGTGCGTCCTTCTGGTCGGTCTGTGCACGGGCGCCGTTGCCGGCGTGATCGACATAGGCGCCAGCTGGATGACCGACTTGAAATTCGGCATATGTCCGCAAGCGTTCTGGTTAAACCGGGAGCAGTGCTGCTGGTCGAACGAGACGAGTTTCGAAACCGGTAACTGCTCGCAGGTAGCGACCTCTGCGGGGTGCGGCCGCGTACTATTTCGACCCGCGTTTTTTCCTTTTTCAGTGGTTGACGTGGCCCGAGGTTCTGTTCCAAGCTAAAGAGGGCGCCGGCTCCTACGTAATATCCTACCTTTTCTACATGACTTGGGCGCTACTGTTCGCCGCTCTTTCGGCGTCCTTGGTGCGTATGTTTGCACCGTACGCCTGCGGATCTGGTATACCAGAGGTAATGATGTTGTTTTGAACGTTCTGTATGAAAATTTTTATTTTCATAATTTTCAATATGCCGAAACCAACCAAAACTAAAATAGCCGCGACCTATTGGTTGGTTTGTATACTACCCAGCTAGTTTTAGTTTTAAATTGCTTACAAACTAAGCAGAGTATTGAATTGAATATTTCTCGTAATCCATGACATAACTTACTATACAAACTAACCAATCCTGTTTGGTTAGTTTAGTTCAGGATAGTAAAATCATCAGGTCAAAAATGAAGTCACAACATGACATTGCTATTACTACATGAGCGGTAACCAATAACATGCAACATCAAATATAACCCAACTTTATTATTTTATTTACAGTGTTGCAAGTTTTTTAGAGATATAGAAATGACAACAACTTGCAAATGTTTTTCTTATTTATTGATTTATAATGATTGTAAATCCTGCTATTCATTTATAGATTCTGTTTTCAAAGAATGTTATAACTTCTAATTCAACATGCTTAATTTTTTGTGCAGTTTAGATTAATGTAGTATAAATCTGATCAGATAGCAGTTAAAGTCAGAAGAGAGTAGATCACCGGTGGTTATATTTGGCAACACCCCTTCATGGTAACATTTGTTTCGTGCCCAACGAGCCAGTGATGCCAAATTTATTGCCGTATTTGTTGAATATGAACACAGGCCATGCAAGTTTTTGAGTAGTATTTTGAAATTCAACCAAATTATCATTTACGTTGACCAGAGAACATCCAAATTTGGACTTAAAGAAAAATTCAATGCTTTTGGCTAGAAATTTTACTCGCAATATCAGAAAAAAAGGTTTTTATTTTTCGATATTGGGTGGTATGCCTACCCGCATTTTTTCAAATTTCAGATCAAAACGATTTTAAGCGGGTTTATCATAAGGGGATACCTCGGCAAGTGGACTTTGCTGATTAAATCCGTGGGCCTCATTCTATCCGTATCGGCCGGTCTGAGTTTGGGAAAGGAGGGACCCATGGTCCACATAGCCTGCGCAATAGGTATACATTTTGACCAGCTGCCGAATAACCGCCTGAAATCGCGTTTCATTTAAGGCAACATTTTGTCATACCTATTCCCGAAATATGGTAGGAACGAGGCCAAAAAAAGGGAAATCTTGTCGGCTTCGGCAGCTGCCGGAGTGTCAGTGGCGTTCGGCGCGCCGATTGGTGGGGTTCTCTTCAGCTTAGAGGAGGTGATAATTGTCGAACATAAACGGGAAAGAGAAGGGACACTCTGCTTTTCGCCCACTTTAATTATTGTTCTGTCGAATTTTTCCTTTTAATTATGTAATAATAGACTTAAACAATTAATTTGATTAAAATTCATGTTTTACAATAAAATTTTCACCCTTAAGGGCCAGAGGATGCTTTATTTTTGATATACCAAGTATAATTCAGCAATTTTTCAGAAGATATGAGACTTAATGAGCAGAAGAAGCATGCATACTTGCTGGCGGTCACTTTCATCAGCTCATTTATGTATATTTTTCATTTATCTACATTTTGTTTCATGCTAGTTTTCCGCATTCATTTATTTTAATTCTACCAAATAAGATTTTTATTGGCTTTTTAATTTTTTCGCAGTGACGTGCCATTTTTTCGATGTTCGGAGTCGTGCTTATCGCGACGTCACTGACAACAATAATTCTCAAACCGAACAAAGGGTTTCCATGCATTGTGGGCCCTTACTATTAATACTTGTTAATTAATACATTAATATCGAAAGCCGTTTCGATTAAAATTAAAAAAAAAACTTTTTATTTCAACACTCTGTATATCAAAAATAAAGTCATTCTGCTCCCATGTTAATATAAAGTAGTTTTCTTAAAAAGATCCAAGGATCGGCACCAGTAATATGTAACACCCTATATGCTGGGTGTTCCAGAAGTTTATAGCAATTATTTTTGAGTTTCTGAAATGGCCACCAGAGATTGTAATTGCCAACTTGATTTTGAAAACACGGTTTTCGCAAAATTTTCTTTTATTAAGCATACTTACAGTGATTGTCATTTTGAAGTTGAGACTTTTTTTGCTCAATGCGAAAAATTTAAAACATTCTTTTGTTCATATTTTAGGTTAGGATATTGACATACGGTTTTTACTGCTTTGTTTAATTATCCAATGACGTAAAAAATTATTAAAATATTATATTTAAAAAGCGCTATCTGGCGGTAAGGTAAGTAATCGCAAACGCCGCACTCATAGCTAGGTAGATGACCTAGCCCTTTATTATTACTGGAAGTTCATTAAAGTGCGTTAAGCCTTTGTGGACCTATTGAATTTATTTCTCGAACACGCCCATCAATATTCTTTCAAAGACAGAGCAAAAAGATCTGAATTAGTCTCAGCTTCAAAGCAGATTTCACTATTTTGCGGTGGGGGGATATTACAGTGGCCCTTCTCTGTTTATGCTCAACGCTTTAGCAGAGGAAGCTGACCAACGCTCGCTTCTGAACTCCTCAGGTCAGCTACTACTTTCCCCTGAAGACATTGTGGAGGTCTTTTTTCTGCGCACTGATAGCCGCGTTCGTCCTTCGATCTATAAACCCCTTCGGTAACGAGCACTCGGTGCTCTTCTTCGTCGAGTACAACAAGCCTTGGATATTCTTCGAGCTGATACCGTTTATAGGGCTGGGTATCATAGGGGTGAGTGGCGGGGGGTGCGTGTCTGTGGTCAGCTCAAGTTAACCGTCATCCGGTCATGTAGGGCATCATAGCGACGATATTTATCAAGGGTAACTTGTACTGGTGCCGGTACAGGAAGTTCTCGAAGCTGGGCCAGTACCCGGTGACGGAAGTGCTGGTCGTTACCGCCCTCACCGCTCTCATAGCCTATCCGAACCCTTACACGCGGATGAACACCAGCGAGCTCATCTATTTGCTGTTCAGCCAGTGCGGCATAGCGAACAACGATCCCATTTGGTAAGGCTAGACCATCAATTAACCGCGGTCACCACTCCATCACAGTATAAGCAAACAACCAGAATTCTGAATCTCCAGAAAGATTGTGTTGACGTACAAAAACATTTTCTGTGGAACTCCTCGCATAGGAACAGTTTAAAAGGAATCCAGTGGCGCACGGCACTGTATCGGCGAGTTTTGTCTTTATTTTTAGGTTAGACAAAGTTTCCCGCCCAAACTGAGAATTATCCTTCTTGTTGTTTGTCTATTCTGTGATCACAAGTTGGAAAAAGAAATTGGTACGACGTTGTTATGGTGCCAAATATTCCAGAATAACCATATTCCAAATGGCAGATCAGGATGCCGTCCTAATGCGCTACTGCCACTCGGACGCTCTCAAAACACATAACCTATAATTTAGATAAAGTATAACAGTATAATAGGTTAGTTTAACAATTCCCACCGGCTGGCGTCATATTTGAAGGGGCGAATTGTAAGTTTACGTAATTTGAATAGAAATATTTTTTTTCAAAAAAAAAATTGCCTTAAATTTAAAATTGATGCAAGGTTTTACTAAAACTGAATAAAGCATAAAAGCTTTGTAAAACAGTTGTAGTTTATAATATTTTGATAGTTCAAGATAAATTTTAATTTAGCAAGTAACCACACTCCTGTCCCTTAAAAGTCACACTAAAAAACTAAAAATTTTAACAAAAGAACCAGTTTAACAAATAAAATTCATTCAGTTTTTTATAAAACAGGATTAAACGGTGTTGACGCCCCAAAATGCAATCGTGGTACTTAAGAGACGCGTAAATATCATTTTTACAGGAAAACAAAAGAAAACACAAACAGCATTATCGCTAAACAGTCTCTAAAAAATTAAATTTGTAAAACATGTTGAAAACAAAAATTAATCTAAAACTAATTTTTATATATTTTATATTTATTAATAAGTGTAAGAAAGAGACTTTGCCACAAGTGATTTTCTGCTCTACTCCTGTCGATTAGTGGTTGAAAAACCAAACTAAAACTGGCAACGTTGTCTGCCACTTAGAATTAAAACGTTTGTGTATTGGAGTGGCAAATTAACTTCTGCTACTCCAATGCAAGGTCCATGTATAATTTTAGTCACTACAAGCGGAACTTTACGAACGTAAAGTCGGCGATAGAGCTCGCAGAGGCGGGACCGGAAGTGTACGACGCCATCTGGCTCCTGGTGATCGCGCTCGTACTCAAACTGATCATGACGGTGTTCACGTTCGGCATGAAAATTCCCTGCGGTTTGTTCATACCGTCCTTGTGTTTGGGCGCCATCATAGGCCGCATAGTCGGCATCTTCATGGAGCAGCTGGCGTTCAGGTACCCGCACAATTGGTTCTTCAGCGGCGAGTGTTCCAGCGGGGACGACTGCATTACCCCCGGGTAAGTCGTTGTTGCCAAGTCTTTCACAAATTCTTAATTTTTTGCAAACTTTCTCACTGCCTAAGTTACGCGTGACATCCATTTTTGTTTTAACATTTCTACATCACACCCGCTATGTAATGTAATATGCCTTCTGTGAATGTCAAAAAATATATATTTTTCAAACTGCTGCGAAATTTTCCATGGACAACGACCATCCCGGCGTGAATAGCAAAAATAACGGAGCCGGCGCACTTAAACACTTTAAAAAACACTTCCGAAACAAAAATTACATGATGGAAACTGATATCGAAGCTTTTTGGGACGAATACAACGAATTTTACAGGCAGCGAGCGTCTAATAACAAGTACATTTTTGAATTGCACACGAATAGTAAAGGTCATCGCGGACATACTGACCAAAACTACTATTTTGGTTATTGACATAGCATTAAAAAGGAGAAAAATTGCATTAAATCATTTTATTTGTAACTAAATGAAGCCGTATAAGTTTAAATAATTTTACATTAACTATTAATTAATGTTGTTTTTACTTAAATTATACCAAAGTTTTTAACTATTGCTAGTTGGTAGTTTTTTTAATCAAATTTAGTTACTTGAAAGGCCCGTACTTTTTTTGGATATTTATAAAATAATATGTCATTTCAAAAATTGTATTAATTTTTTACATATAAAAGATGTTTTGAAGAGACTGGGAGTGATTTCACCCGAATTTTCTATATGATCAAACAAAAATTTGCGTTTAGTGACATATATGTATGATTTGTCAAACTTGTTGCAACCGAAACCGATTGGCGCTCCCCCTGGATTGAGAACTTGAACTAAGGACGCATGACATTGACAAAGCAGAAATAAAAAACGGCGAATTATATCAATAGGCATAGGGAAGTTAATTTTAAACCAACATCTTCAAAAATAACAAATTTAGTAAGCATGACTGTAAATAATTTTGACAAATATTTTGAAATTTTTTCACTGGGTTCTCCTATGTACGTAATTGTTCAAAATTGTTCTTGTTCTGTATTAGGTCTTTAGATTAGATTAGATTTGTTTTTTATGGAAGGAATGGCAGGATTGTAGCCGTTGTTCAGTGCAATTTGTTTAATGATATTAAGTTCTTTGTATAAAAGAGTGAAATGCAGCTATTTTGTGTGTATAAGGGTGATTTGGACTGTTATGTATGACTGCGTGTGTGAAGCTTGGTAAATGGAAAAATCTAATTTGTTTTGCGTTTTCGTAATAGTTAAGACTAAAAAATTAATAGAGTTATCCTGCTCAATCTCGATAGTGAATTTTATACGATTATGTAATGAGTTAATGTAATATAAAAAATAATTCAATTGTCTGTCCGGTCCAACAAAGCAAAGCCCGTATCTATCACTTTGTCACTAAATAGTGTGGAGTTAGTAATTACTTCCTTTGATAAAACTCGATAGGATCGTGTTTGATACCTTGGAAACGTTCTGGTTTAAGAAAATCGTTGGTTATTGAAATATATATTTCAGAATATATTTTAAAAACCAACGATTTTCTTAAACCAGAACGTCGGACTCATTATCTGTAGAAGGTTATGGTGAAGTGTGATGGAACGTTTAATATCTCTAATGTAAAACAGGTAGACGCAAATAGCAACTGTAGTAAAGATTATCTTAACAGCTAATTTTACATAATAAAACTGTTGTTGTGTTGTGGCACATTTAATAGTTCAATCTCCTACAACTTAGTAGATCAACATTTGCACGCCATCGTGGTGTTTGGTCTCTGACATAAACACAAATTATTTTATAGATTGTACGCGATGGTGGGAGCGGCTGCGGTATTAGGGGGCGTGACCAGAATGACCGTGTCCTTGGTGGTCATCATGTTCGAACTAACCGGCGGCGTTCGGTACATAGTGCCATTGATGGCCGCTGCGATGGCCAGCAAATGGGTGGGCGACGCTTTGGGTCGTCAGGGCATCTACGACGCCCACATCGCCCTCAACGGGTATCCGTTTTTGGACTCGAAGGACGAGTTCCAGCATACCAGCTTGGCCGCGGACGTCATGCAGCCCAAGTGAGCCTCGCGGGGGCGGTTTCTTGGCGAAAAACATTTTACGTTGTTTCTTAGGCGCAACGAAACGCTATCGGTCATAACGCAGGACTCGATGACGGTGGACGACATCGAGCAATTGCTCAAGGACACCGAGCACAACGGCTATCCCGTCGTGGTGTCCAGGGAGTCGCAGTATTTGGTGGGATTCGTGCTACGAAGAGATCTGAATCTGGCGATAGGTGAGTGCTATTACGAACTTGTATGTACAGAGTGTTTAAGAATGCCGCGGCAGTGTTAAATTAGTGATAAGACGCCGATTTGGCTCTAATTAAATAGAAATTAAACAGTTGCTTAGAGGTGGAGTCAACTTTATAAAATTTATTGGTAAAAAAGGTACGCCACTGACTTTAATTTAATTTTGGTACTTCTCTGAGGTCGAGCAGCCAAAACCAGTAATTTTTCGTCTCTTGAATTTTTCTCATTTCGTTTGCGAGATAAAAAATATATTACTGTATGTCCATGTATTGATCATAATTTTTTTGTCTAGTAAAAGTATATGGAATTTCAATGATCTTCATGCTATCTTCCCCTTCTTATACTTCCACTCTACTTGTATAATAAATATTAAGTTATTTTTGGTCGCATTGTTCGCAAATATTATTAGAACGTTGAAAAATATTTTTGTGATAAATATTTTTTAATATGAATATGAATATGAGAAAAATCCAAGAGACGAAAAAGTAACGCCATTCTTTAATTGTTATTATTATTGTAATTTGAAAAACATTGTTAAAAAGAATCTTTATGTATCTATGCATTTTCGGACCTACGTTTATAGGAACTTTTTCCATGAAATGATCAAAAACATATTAGACTTTGTCAAAAATCCGAAAAATTTTTTAATGAAAAATATATGAATAAAATCAGGATATATCTTGAAAGAAGAGATCTGTCATTTGTATTTTAATTTTTTTTTCGTGCTCTCCTTATTGCGTAAAAACAATCACATTTTTATGAATATAGTTTTGCAGTAAATTGATACCTCTGTAATAAAACTCTGATCGGCCGTAATAAAGCAAGCCTTAAACATTAAAAGTTTTTTTGATTAATCTTTTTCATCTTGGAATATGCAAAAAAAATAAATCAAAACGTAATTTAACATGTCACACGTAGTAACGCTCGCTCTCTGCCATCTTCTCGTCTTCCACCGCTGGCCCCCTCTTGTTACTTTTAGTGGGTGCCCTGTGGCCCACTCTAGCGGGACCGTGCGTATACACATACTTCAATGAGGCGCTCTGGTCGCCGACTAATTCGTTTGTGAGCGGATAGATGGTGGTGAGGGTGTTCATTTGTTACAAGGATCTTTAGATCATTTTACTGAATAAATTGTAAAATTTTGAAGGAAGTGTAGAAATCTATCCTGTTACAATTCAAAAAAGTATCTATCAAGGGACTAATGAGAGTTAGTAGTGAACGTTATAACAACAACGAATATATATATATATATATATATATATATATATATATATATATATATATATATATATATATATATATATATATATATATATATATATATATATTGCTTCTGGATAGTGTGCCATGAACTACTGATTGTTTATAGCCCTGAAGATGCCTAAAAACTTTAGAATGTTTACGATAATAATCAAGTTGTTAATTAATGCCATTATATCTACTCTTATAAAGTACTTTTTTATTTTATTTATTTATGACATAAACGATTTAAGTGTATGTAAATTTATGCAAGGTATCTGAAAACTTCGTGGAATCCGTTATATAAGCATAAGTTATAAGCAAGTTGACACCCGCTTCCGGGTGAAAATTTAAATTCTTTTTTTTTTTAGCAAATGCCAAGCGTATGGTGGACGGAATCTGCGGCCAGTCCCTGGTGCTGTTCACTAGCGGGAATCCCCCGCAGACTTTAGGTCCCCCGCCGTTAAACCTGAAGAAGATTTTGGACATGGCCCCGATCACCATAACGGACCAAACGCCGATGGAAACGGTCGTGGACATGTTTAGGAAATTAGGACTGAGGCAAACGCTAGTCACACACAACGGGTGAGTAAAGAAACGGGCATATACCATTTGCGCGCACTGGTCAGAAATTTTTAAGGGTAACCTAAATTATATGGGTCACTAACGCGCCTATTTAGTTTGACCATTATTAACCCTGGGTAAAGGAAGGAAAAATAGTCATTTTGAAACATGTATATTTATTATTTAAAAAAAAAACGTTTTTTATAAAAAGCAATTAAATTAAATATATAATTTTTACAAGAAACTAGCAAGTTAGTACTTTTAATTTTAATTGTTCTATTTAACTGAATAACGGTCAAAACACATACGAATCTAAAAATGTCTTGATGAGCGGCATAAAAAGAAACATTATGGGTGGTTCCGTTATGTTACTTTTCTACTTCAAAATACTAAGATTTTAAATTTTTTTTTGTTCATATAAATAAAAAAATAAAAGCTTGAAAGGATTTCGCTACAACTTCAAAGCGCGGTACTGACGTAAAATACATTTGAGTTCAAAAATCATATAAACTTTTTGCACTATTTCGTCAACTCCATTTTTGGAAACGGTACTCAGATGACGTCTTTGCAACATGATTCACTAGACGTTTCTTGAATGTCAAGGTAGATGGCGCTCGAGTCATATAAATTAAAATTCAAGAATTCCTTAAACTTTAAAGACAAGAGTTATTGGACCGGAATTCATGGTTAAGTTTAATCATTAACAACAAAAGTGTCATTGTTTTTTTTTTGGTTTAATCATAGAAATAATAATTTAAATAATTTATTGCTACAAAAAAAAATTAAAAATTAACTTGAATTGAATGACAAAGTATATCATATAAAAAATATGATGAAATTGTTAAATTATGATTTTATATTTTAAGAGTTAAGTTAGAAATGTCTATTTTATATTCTGTGCCTTTCGGTTGTGGTCTGCGTTTTTTGTTTCGACCAGAAACTAAGAGGAACGGCAGAAAAACGGAACTGTGGTGGTGGTGCACATGTTTTAAGGAATAAAGATTCAGTTAGTTAGAATTCCGTTTTATCATTTTTTAACAGAAATATGTTCATGATCATCGAATTAATAAAAACTGCTCAAAACCAGTAACAATTTCGTTTAGGTCGAAACACAAATCGATTTCATTGCGATAATTATTAAGTAATTTAAATGCATTAGTGTAATCTTGCAAATTTTTTTGGACGATTACATGAGTAGCTTAAATCAGTTTACTATGAATACAATATGATTAATATTAAATTAGAATTATTAATTAATAAGCAGTGACTGACTGATGTGGTCTTCTTTACTTGCAAATTTCTAATGCAAGAATGATTATGCTGACCATTTTGTTGAATTAAAACTTCTGTCTGCCAATGATACAAATGCTCTACATGTTTTAATTGTGCATCTATATAAAACACCAATGTTATGTTATGGGCCGCTTTTAATATTATTGTCTTTACATTGTAATCCCTTAAGTGATGTATTGAGTGCACAAGTATATATTGCACATATTGTCGTTTTGAACAAGTTAACTCACATTTAACATATTGGGTTGTTCGGAAAGTCATTTCGTTTTTTTTTGGGAACATGAAAGACAGTTTTCGTATAATGAATAAATATTTTATTAAATTATATATTGGCCATTCTGGTCCAACACCTTTTGCCATCTTTCTGGCAGTAACGTAATTCCCCTCTCATAAAAGTTTTGGTCCTTGCTGGCAAAAAACTGGTTCATGTGGTTTTTGACATCTTCATTTGAGGTAAAGGTTTTGCCATCCAAAAAATTTTGCAGGGACCGGAACAAATAGTAGTCGGAAGGCGCCAGATCTGGAGAATATGGTGGATGTTGCAGTACGTCCCATTCAAGCTGTAAAAGTTTTTGGCGAGTGACCAAACTTGTGTGAGGTCTCGCATTATCCTGGTGGAACACTACACCCTTCCTGTTGATTAATTCGGGCCTCTTCTCTTTAAGTGAATCATTCAATTTGTCCAGTTGATGACAATAGACTTCTGAATTAATCGTTGTATTGTCCGCTCAAAAAAAACGATTCCTTTGACATCCCACCAAACGGAGAGCATCTCTTTTTTTGGTGAATGTTGGCTTTTGACACGCTTTGAGCCGGTTCATCTTTTCTGCTCCATGACCTCTTGCGTTTAACATTGTTGTATACAACCCATTTTTCGTCCCCAGTAATAATCCGCTTCAAAAATGGATCATTTTCTTGACGTTTGAGGAGCGAATCACACACGTCAACGCGACGACACAAATTTCGCTCCGTAAGGACATGGGGCACCCACACATCGAGCTTCGAGGTTAAGCCCATGCCTTTCAAATGGCCATAAACAGTCCAATTCGACAAATTTAATCTCTCACCGATCTCTCGTGTGATTATTCGCCGATTTGCATCAACTAACGCCTTTATCGCATCTTTGTCAGCTTCGACCGGCCTTCCAGACCGTGGTGCATCTTCGACATCAAAATTGCCGGATCGAAATTTTGCAAACCAGTTCTGGCACTGGCGTACTGTTAACACGCCTTCTCCATACACATCCGTTAATTTTTTTCTCGCTTGGACAGCATTTTTACCTTTTCTGAAGTAAAAAAGTAAAATATGACGAAAATGCTGCTTAATGCTCTCCATATTTAAAAGGGCACCAACCAAAAACTACTGCGTAGAATTAATAGAACTTTTTCACACACAAGCCTTGCAATATCAGCTCTCAAGACATATAATGGTTATGCGGCTTAAGTGTGAAGTTGGTTTCGAAAAAACGTAATTAAGTCCTCTGATGGGAAAAAACGAAATAACTTTCCGAACAACCTTATAGTTTCCATTTTTGAAAAATGAGCAAGCTTTGAAAATGGGTAGCGGGTTGCTCTCCGTACACCTAAAAAAATTAAGGAATTCCCCAAAGCGCTTTTATTGTTTTCCGTGCGCGAGTGGCCCATGCGACTTTTGGTACCCTCAGATTTCTGATCAGTATTGTGATTGTGATTGTTATTATAATTTTATTGCCCCTATTCAGGAGATTATTAGGCGTAATTACGAAAAAGGACGTCCTGAGGCACATAAAGCAGATGGACAACGAGGACCCCAGCTCGGTCCTGTTCAATTAAGCTTTCGTTTTTAAGTGATAATTGTTGTTACCGCGACGGTATCGAGTGTAAAAAATGGAAATTATTTTGTATACCGTGTGTGTACGTGTTCTCCACACCGTATATCCGAATTTATTATTTATTGCATAGTTTTTATACGGCGGCGCGGCGTTTTTACACCACAAACGATGTCTTCCCCTACCCCGCCACCACCGCACCTGTCCCCCTCCAATTTACGTCAACGCGTGCGCCGAGATTCCGTTTAATAATCGTTAAATACACTCTCCCCTAACCGTAACGATTCGCCCTTAAATGCTCAGATGATTATCGTGTAGGTATACCCAATAAAGACTTTTACATGTTATCGACGATGCGTCTTTGTTTTTTCCTCGAACCTTTCAGGAAGGAGAAACCCCCTCTAACAATGAACTGTTTGACACTGGTGTTACAAATGGAGAATGGAAAATGAAGAATGTATAAACTAGGAATCCCTATTTTTGGATATATTAAAGAACATATTAAAAAACAAAAAATATATTAGGCATACATGACAACTATTTATAGGTCAATAATAAAATGTATTCATATGTACCCTCGTATATACATAATATAAAAAATACATATACTATACTTAAATCTTTATTTTACAATTTTACCATACTGTCTATTTTTTTTTCTGCGGGTATCATCTTGCAAAGATTTTCTTTTTAGACAGACATAGCTTTTATCTGGATTAAGTTTGTCCTCTCTTCTAACATCGGACTATCCACTCGTTCCGAATAGTTCGGGATACTAGATCTTTCCCTTTGGAAAAACGACGAAAACTACAATTTCGAGAACTCAAAACTTTTAAGTCTTTGTTTCGCCACTCGAGCACATACAATTTTAAAGTATTTGTTAAACCTTAACAACACTGTTTTGTCCAATTTTTTTTACAGAAATATAATTAACACAAACATAAACGCACTACTCACTAGTGTAAATCATTTTAATTGTTCAAAGAACACAAAATACAACGGTTTAATACGCCTTCAAATGCATTGAAAGGATGCACAAAAGCGGTTAGAGGACTTCGCTTACGTCACAAGCGACCACGTGCGATCGATAATTTTGGCGAACGTATGTCTACGGGATTGCGCAATCCTATTAGGTTTACGATTCTTGCTTCAAAAACGCTGAAAAAGTTTGTATCACGTGATTGTGATTAAGGCCGGTCGATAACTTTTACTTCTTGGTGCCTTGCGAAATTTAACCTATCAAATAAAAGAGGTCTCTGCATTCGCTAACTAGATGGTCATATGCAATAGAAACAAATTGGTCCTACTGTGCTGGCAACGCGTATGGAGTGAGAATTAAATTTTACCGCCAATAAAGAAGAGTTCATTTGTTTATAGACACGAAAACTTAGCCCGTATGAAGATAAGTGAAATTTTGATGAAGAATCTTGAAAGAAAAATTATGGATAGTCAATTCTCCACATATTTAATAGTTAATTATTAAAAAAAAACTTCAAAATATAAAATCATTTTAAGGAGACATTAAGCTGACATTGGAGGTTGAACAGTGTGACTTGTGTAATTGATTATTGCTATTTTACATAAGATGTTACATTAGCATCTCCTTTTTTGCAGCTGTCAAATAAAAGAAGTTGGCTTTGCGTTTGTCAAAGGCGACTGACAGTAATGGCAGATATGCATTCTATAATGGACATGCAAACATTTTTAACACTTACTATAAAAATATCATTTTTGTAGCAGTTCGTCTTAGGTGTCTCGCGTATTTGTTGTTTGTATGTGAGTTACATTGCGTAAGTAAAAAGTTTTTAAAGAAGTTACTACATCCTCAAAAACTTTTCAACATATGAAAGCAACGTTATTGGAAAAGTTAGTATCGTTGTGCCTTTTGTTTTTTTGGGATAATATATTGTATCACAGCCCAAAAGAGGACCCGTTCATGGCCGCGCCAGACTGATTAATCTATTTTTTCGGTGAAAGCCGATAACATTAATTCGTAAATTCTATATAAACATTACGATAAAAATGACCTCCAGTTGCGTTAAAGTCTACGGGACTTAGACACAATGTAACATGTGATGTACAATACAAGGCACGATGGCTATAGATTCGACCGCGTCAAATATTGCAGATGTCAAATAGCTGACACCGAAGGAAACATAAGCAAACAGTGATAATGGTAAAAATTGTCATCCCCGTTATAGTTAATATTTTGCTTAGTTACGGACTGACAACCATACAATTTTAGTAACGTGTGGTGGGTGTAGTTTATACTAAGCAAAATATCTTTTACCTGCGAGAGGCGATCAGGCGCTGTTGCCAATTGGAGCGCAATTTCTTTCTCCTTCAAATTGCAATTCCAAAATCGCGGAAAAAAATTTAAATGATTCAAAACTACACAGCTAACAGCTGCCAGAACATTTTTTATAATCAGAGATAATATAGAATTACAAAGAAGCCACAAAATCCATATAAGACGTTTTGTTGTTATAATGAAACGCTTGACTCTTGAAGATCATGATATCAAGGGCTGCTCGACCGCTTCCGACTTTAGAAAGGGTCTTAAAACTAATCCACTGTTCAATTACAGGTATTTAATTTTTTTTTAGTACAAATGTGTATAAATGTTTTTTTATAACCTCACTTTCACAATGATACAATTAAGTTAATGTAAATTAATTCATAAAATCTTTTGATTTAGTGTGGTTAAGTGAGTAGCTCATACTCTTTTATTTCTTATTATTTATAGAAATATTAATAAAGACCTATTATTGTTATTATTATTAAGGTGCGCAATTATAAACTAGTTGGATATTATTGTCGTCTCAGTACCTCTAGAGGAAGAACTGCCATATGTGTTAAAAATAATATTGCCTGTTACAGTCTTAATCTAAATATTGTCTGGATCTTCACGCAGAGTTATCCTCTTTGGAATGCATGGAACCATTTCAGAAAACTAGAATTACTTACCATTGAGCAAATTGCATTGACAACATTATGGTAAATTTTTGTGACACCTTTTACAGCGCTGGTAACGTTGAGCCTGTTTTTTCCGAACATAAAGGTGTTTTTATTACTGTGAAAACTGATTTTGGGTTAAAAGAAGATAGATTTTTCAGCGAACAATTTTCTCAGACTCTTGAGGTAACAGTTTGGGATGATCACTGTCCCATGACAGTAAGCCCATCTGATACAGTAGACTATTTGTTAAATTTTGTAACAACAAATGTAAATCATCAGATTATTAAAACAAAACAAGTTAAATCTACAATTCGAGACTAATTCACTGGTACAACAGCGATCTAAGTGGCCTGCAAGATCCATATAAGACCATATATAAGCTCTTGCACGTAAGGGCCACGGCCAAAGCCAAACTTCAATAAACGCTTACGGTCAGTTTGTTGACAACTCTGACAATCTTGGTCCCAGCTGCTGGAAACTTATTAACAGTGTAGTATTACTTCCGATGATCTCAACTTATATTTTCCGAGGTGGCATCGAGTATTACTGTCGAAATAAAAAACATAAATGTTCCAACCCCCTCTGAGTCGTTTTTCCTGGATCCGGTTTTCAGTGACTTCTAATTTTCTAGACGTTAAATTCAAGAATTCTTAAACACAGCTCAAGTAATTAACCGAAACTGGAATATTTCCAGAACAGTTATAAATAAGTAGGATTGTGCCACTACACAAGAAGGGAGATTTCAAAGTTCCTTCAAATTATAAGTTAAATGAAAATAAAACGAACCATCTTATTTTCTCTTGTAGCAAGGTGCACAATTTGAGGCTTGGATCGTTCTCTTTTTGGAAATATCACATCAAACACCGTTTCCACAAATTGTCAAATCAGTTGTTTTAAATTAAACACACATGTCAAGACTTGCTTATGAATGTGATCGTCATAATCACTACACCACTACATCTACTATTACACTGTTCTACCAACTGTTGTCAAGGTCCTGTCATACACTAAATTTTGTAAAATAATAAAACACTTTCTATTGGAAATTACCCACAATTTTGCCCTAATTTATTCTCAAAGAAGATTTCCAGGTCAGGTCTCTTTTAATTTGTATATATGGAGTATATTTTATAAGTCGACTTTGTAAAATACCGATCGCGCCTCGTGCGTGTCCATTAGCGATCATCGATAGCTTATCGTCTAACTATTTCAAAAATTAAAAATCACACATGCCTTGGCCGATAACGCTTCGTTGTGGTCAAGAGTTCTAGACAAGATCACGGCTTTTCCTTGTCTATAGTCGATACCGGTTTTGGTAGGACGCATTTCGTATTTCGTACAGTTTGGTGCATTTTGTTTTTTTCATTCTGCAAAGACTAATTGCTGGACGCGTAAAGGTCGAAAAAGCGGAAGTGGTAAACTATAATGAAGCCGGCCTGTAATTAACAGACCTTCTTCGGATATAGCACTAAGGACATGCCGGTGAGTGTGGCGAATTATGAGTCCGTTAATTAGATCACTTATACCGATATGGTGCTATAACATTTAAAACCATGATGTCTTTGGATCGATATCGCATCACGAAATTTAATCATTTTTTTCCTTGAAAATCGCAATTTTCTGAATTGGGGCCACCGGGGAAACTAGTTTGTCCTAGTTCAAAGCAGTGTATGTGAGGAACTGGGAAAGAAGAGTTAAGAAAAGCTAGAAACGGGTTTGTTGCGAGCCAAACGTAATATTAAACGAGAAATTTGAATACGATCGCAGTTTTGGTTAGGTTTTGGTCTTTTCCTCCTACGGGATAAACCGGTTTGATCCAAGAAATACTAGTTGGGCCCGACGCGGTCCAAATGCGTTCAACAATAAAGTTGCTGAGAAATAAAAATTTCGAATTTTTAAAAAAAAATCTAAAATAACTAAAAATTATCTACAAAGCATGTGAAGATAGCCTCACAAAAAACGCGTAGACACTATACGTCAACGGTTCAAGGTTCAGCGTTATATTTTCTGCGCTTCTTTTTAACTCATTTTAAATTTCTTAAAAGAACTTAAAGAACGTATATATACTAGTCGGGAATACAAAAAAAACTCAACTACATTTTTCTTAAGCTAATGGATAGTATTAAAAGAATGTTTGAAAATTTTGGCTTTTGGTTTTGGCTTAAGTCCGTATCTTTGAATGTGTCTATAGAAAAAGTTTGCCTAGTGCGCACTTGATACGGACTAGAATTCAAATATAAGTGAGTCAATAAGATACTTAACAAGATCTGTCATGCGTTTTTTTGCACTATTTTCTAGAGGTGCTTTAAATATTCAAAATATTCAATATTTTTAACCTGAGTAATTTTTATAAGTTTTGTATTGCCCAATTGTCATTTTTCGTGTAAA